CTACCGCTAGAGGGCGTACTCGAGCGTTGCGATTGCGAATAGCTTATTCAATCACCGAATATAAATCATATATCGTCTGCAAATCCGGTCGCGTCAAAACAATACAGCTGTATAGAGTATAATTAAGATCTAATAATTTGACCAGAGACTGTGCAAGAGTAGGGATAAATTCTTTTAATGCTTCATATTTCAGTTAGTATTATGTTCATAAATATATTTCTTTTTTTTTTCATGATTTAATACACTGACGAACTAAAATTCAGCTTTATCATGAGCAACGGTTTATCTGCACTTTTATAGTATATAAAATCCCACAATCCAATGCCTTTACCTAAACTCTGTTCTGAATTCAAAGACATTAGTTCTATACTAACCGTAGCTAGCTCTCATTTACATAAAAAAAAAAGACCATAAAATGATTGTCGTCGGCGTTTATGTGACATTTTCTGATTTTTATAAGTTTATTGTTTGTAGAGATCTACACAATACGCTGTCGCAATACATTTTTATTACATGTCTGTCCGTCTTTCATTTTTACTCCGTCTTTGCAAACAGGATTTAAGATTTCTCATAAGCTTCCAGACAGAACAAAAAAAAAATGTAATATAAATAAATAATAATAACTAAATCGAAGCAATGATAAAAATCACGCGTGAATAAAAATATAGAATTTTTTATCAATTTTATTCGTTTATAGTTCGTTGTTTAATGTTAATTTATAAACTACAGAATACCAGGTTCAATTCAGCATAGACTATACAAAATACTGCTTGCAATACCATAACTGAAAACCTTATTTAAAAATGTGTGTTTTAATTTTTTAGTCATTTTTAAGTAATTTAACCTAAAAATGATTCTTGATAAAAAGTGATTATTTATTTACGTATAAATCGCGGCAGTCCCTGGTGGCCATATTTTTAAGATTCCATGTAATTATTATTATTATACAGCTGTTTTGGTTTACTCGAATGAAACCATTTGTTTACGCCCCTGCATCAATTGGTTAATATTATTATGCAACTAAACTACATTCAGTGGCGCCCATAGAGGGCCTACTGTGCCCCTCTCAGTTTTCTTGACCTTGGGCTCTGGGGTGCAGGAACAGATGTTCCGGTTAGGTGGTCAGCCGAACACGAAACCCCCGGTGTTAAGTTCTCAAGCATGCTTGGTACTCATTTATCGACCCACTGAAGAGATGAAAGGTTGATTATTAAAAAACTACAGTGCGTATAATTATAATGTGTGATAGAATAAATATTCAATATTCATATAACAAATTGTCCAATTAAATCAATCGTAGAATTTATATTTTCTATCGTCTCATTTAACCCATGGATACAGGAACGTAAACAAGTGCAAAACAGTCAGCTTAAAAACAATAAAGCTTTTTCACCTGAGTAATTAAGATTTTACATAGAATCTTTATAGTGATATGGCCAGAGTACCTGTAACTATTAAGTGAAAAATTTAAATCTTAGAAAGGGCTATTTATAAAACGTAAGGGTTCCGTGATTCCTGGGAACAGCTTTTTGAGAAAGCTTTATTAAACACATATGAAAACAAAATGATGCAATACATCCTAAAAATTTAGTTAAAAAATAATTCACAAAAGTTAAATTTACAATAATGATTTTCGCTTCTCTGCCACTAACACTAAACAAGGTCTCTAAAGACACACATTAGATCTGTATTCAGTAGTGGATACAACTATCCCCTTAAATAAATGGATCTTTTGTTTTTAATAATGATGGTCATTTAAGTGCTTGAAATTGGACCCCCTTTTCCATCCAAATTCTGTAACCCCGCTATAGTGAACTCCCGGATGGAGTGAACGAAAAGTTCGCTATAGAAGTCTTCCACTCATTTATTTTTTTCTTTCTTTCTTTATTTTTTGGGGTAATAATTTTGAGTTTTCTACCTCAAAATAAATACATATACCGATTTTTAAAACCATCTACAGCATGGAATGTAGCTTTCTTGTTTGTTGTCATTATTGAATAGGTTCAGGATTCAAAGAAGCCCGCAATCTTCTGGACAAATGCCTCGAGTCAAAGCAGCCGATGAATTTGCTAAGCGGTCTATAGTGGAGACTCTAGTGGTGAACTATAGTGAGATTATAGTGGCCATTCGAGAGCATAAAAGATGTGCTCGAATGGCTGGTTTTAAAAAGCGGAATAATATAAATTCAGGAAAAATTATCGGAGAGTCGGGACATGTTTCCATATCTAATGATGAGAATTGTTCATCAGCTTGTGAACAGTCATAAAAAACAAAAGTGAATACATTTTTTTTTTACTACGTATTATTTCTCAGTCATTTTTGTATTTCATTTTATTGCTCATTTATTTAAATAATGCGTCATAAAAGAGGAGGGAACCATTTGTTAAAATTGTTTGCGGAACACGGATATAGTGAAACGACATTTCGGTCCCTTGAAAATTCACTATAGTGTAGTTTGACTGTATTATAATTTAATGAAATAGAATTCTTTATTTGTTCCCGACACTCATTATCTTCTGCGTGGAAATGAAAGTGTTTCGAAACGAAAGATTGCAGATGTCTGGTGAAAGATATGCAGGTTGTACTCTTAAAATGATGCTAAGGTCAGAGGAAATGGGGTAACAGTCATGGAGGTCAAACAAATGAATGCACGTTGGGAAAGGACCTGAAAATATTAACAAAAATGTCTCTTCTAGATAGCGATATACAGATAGGAAACTAGATGTAGAACAAGTCTGTATAAATAGATTCAGTGGCTGTATAATGTCTTTCTTAAAATGACTACATCTTGGTGACACTTTTTTACTCTGCTAGTTTTTTATTTTTATTTAATGGGTATAGTACACGAAGAAACTATGTTTAAAAAATAATATGTGTAAACTGTGTACAAAACTATGGCTTTAAAGAAAACCCTTTTCATTTCTTCAACTTTTAAAGAATTTATAATAAATAATTCAAAAAATAACGTCTTTATAAAACCGAGAATTTTTTTTTTCCAAAAAAAGAAAAAAAATATTCACGACGGTTTTGTGTAATATGAACAAGAATAGACAAATTTTATTTAAGAGGATCGGATTATTAAATCTTGTTGCTTTTTCGTTGTCAAATAGATCTTCGGAATCTTTTTTTAAAAAATTCATAACCGTCGTTGAACAGCTGACCCAATTTTTGCGTTTACGACCACTCATGTTCAACTCCGTAAACTTGTCTTTTTGAACCCAATCCAGAAGACAAGGGAACTCCTGGATCAAGTTTTGGGAGAAATTTGCCTTCGTGGAGGACTTTTGGATGGAACTAACCCGCATGTGCGTTTCATGGAGAGAAAGACCACGAGATCCTCCCACGGTTAGCCTGACGGCAATGGGACTCTGCTGGATGCGAAATTCATATCGACCAGCCATCTCTGGGATCGAACCCCGGTTCGCCACATTGGAAGGCCCTATCCCCTGAGCCATTTTCGAAGAATAAATGCCTTTCTTAGGGTCAGAATAATGTTAAGACTTTATTTTAGGTTGGATAATGCTAATTATCATAATAAAAATTATTGCTACAGAACCCTTAGCTAGATTGCTTCGCACAATGCACCTTATATTTCAATAATATTTACTTAATTTTTCTCTAAAAATAAGGAAAAATACAATCGGAATATTTTATAATTTTCTTTTACTTTGAATAAACGATTGCCAACTTTTTTATTTAGAGAAACTTGATAAGTAATTGGACTCTCTTTATGAATGAAAAAGATTTCTTCTTCAAAATCCTACTATTAGTTCACCCTATTCAAATTTTCAATCATACTTTTTATTCAACACACATTTTATTTGAACTTGTAGTGGATGATAGACTTGACAGTTTTATTTTTCAAATATTAATTCATTCATTGAATAGGGATGAGTGAAAAACGAACTTTCTGATGGGTTAGTCATTGTAGTTTCTCACCCATTTCAAAAATAACATCAGTGATCATTTCTTACTAATTTGAACAAAAAACTAGTTTATGGCGCACATTTAATTATTTTATATTCGTGGTGTCAGATACATTCATTAAAGAACATGGTAGCACGTGTGGTCACCCAATTTATACTTTTATAGTTGTCTGTGATACCAAAAGCCCCTTTCTTCTTCAATTCCTACTATTATAGTTCTCACTTTAATAGTAGGGATTTATACGAGGGTTGTAAATTAAATAGTGGCAACTTAACCTTGAAACTCACAGAAGCGCGGGCTTGCTCAAATTGGATATGGGAGCGGTGAGGTGGCGCTGTTGTCGATGTGTAGAGTGCAAAAAACAGTCGATTTGCTTAGAAGGGTAGTTGTTGCGGGGCGTTAAAGTGAGGAGTTTCGTTTCCATCGCTCTAAAGCATGTTCTCAAAAAGTGATCAGCTGTCGTGGCTTAAAATCGAGGTAGCCCGTGGCAAAAATGCAACAGAATGCTATCGAGGATTAGTGGAAGCCTTTGGAGCAAATGCTTTACCATATAGGACAGTAGCACGATGGATTCAAGCATCTCGTCTTTTTTCGTCATTAAGCCTTTTCACAACATGCTTTAGAGCGATGGAAACGAAACTCCTCACTTTAACGCCACGCAACAACTACCCTTCTAAGCAAATCGACTGTTTTTTGCACTCTACACATCGACAACAGCGTCACCTCACCGCTCCCATATCCAATTTGCGCATGCCCGCCCTTCTGTGAGTTTTAAGGTTAAGTTGCCACTATTTAATTTACAACCCTCGTATATATTTATATATCTTGTTCAAATGTTCATAAAATACTTTTTATTCATGCGTTCAAGTTCAAACACAATTTTTGTTAAACTTGTAGTGGATGATGATACACTTGATATTAATACAGTTTTTTCAACTATTAATTCATTACATTTTTTTTTAATATTACGTGTTATGTGTTTCATCGTGTATTCCCAAGAAAATTGAAAGAAAAGTTTTGCTACTCATTAAGATGTCTTATAATTGATCATTTATTTCCACCCCCCTCAATAGCATTCTGGTGTTGGAGAATTGCTGTTTTCGTTATGCTATGATGCGCCTAACCTAACCCTAACCATACTGAAAGCAAGAGGACTCAACATGAGACAAGATGGAGGAAAAGATACATGTGAGATATTTCTTTTGTTACTCTCTCTCATCACCTTCCTTATTATAACACACTTGAGGTTGCTGCCTTATATCGCCCCCTCACAGGAATTGAACCAGAAACTCTGCTGATTTCGAATTTTCTTTTTTTCTCCCATATTAACACCTTGACATGTCATTTTTATTTTATATTCGACCACTAATGTTCAGTTTCGTAGCCATCTCATTCTCAACCAGAAGACAAAGGATCGACAGATGTGTTGTGGAAGACTTTGTGACAGATTTAACGTACATCAGTCACCATTTACTACACAGGGAGTCTTCGGCCAGCGAGGATCGAACCCAAGAACTCTTGAACATAGGCCCAGTGCCCTACCAACCAGGCCCCCTTTGACATATCATTTCTTGATATAGAAATGATCTTTGATTGCACTGTAAACAACAACTCGCAACGGAATGTTGACAAAGATGCCAAATGCTCCGGACATGCCAAAATAATTTTTTAAAAAAAAACGGTAATTAACTGCAAATTAAATTTTGCAAATATTTGACTATTTTTGCTCGCTTTTTAAAAGGTATAGCATGACATAACTACTACAAAGTGACGAATTATTTAGAAATAGAGGTGGAAAAAAAATTTACGAAATTGAATTTATTAAACCAAGAATCGCAATTGATAAACTACCACTTTAAAATATTTATTTGCTGTCCGGAGCAAGTTGGCATTTCTGTGTGGAAGACATCTGAGACACGTCAATTATTGTTTTGACATAAGAAACAAATGACCTCTCCCAGACGTCTTCGTATGTCAAAAGGTTAATTTGCGACTAACCACTTTTTATTTTTGAAAAGTACATAAAAAAAATACATCTTAAAGCGAAACATTCTGTATATACAGGGAGACGGATAATGGTACCGAGGAATATGTACCTTGGTGGTCACATTTCACTGAAAAAAAAAGAATAAAACCGTGGCCATGGTTTGAAACTATCAAATGAAGTAAATAGTAATATTTATTGTCTACTTGTAAAGAATCCAATACTTTTTTTATTAACAATAGCACTTCATTAAGAACATTAATAGGTCTATGGAAAGATTCATGATTTTATAAATTAAAAAAAAAAAATATCTTACTTCATCAATCCTTAAATTTGTAATTTCGTATCCCTTGCATTTTATTATTCCGAAGAGGTCTAACTCTCGAGTGGTTGAATATAATAGACACTCAAAAAGAAAGCCCCAATTCAGCAAGTGTGATATTTAATTATCTCAATGTTCATTTTCAAGAGAACAAAAATGACAGAATAGTGTACTGCCAATTCAGAACAAATCTCGGAGATCCAAAAGGTGCACTCTTTCATAAAATTTTATGAACACTTTAAAAGATACAGAAAAAACACACTATGTTCACTATTCAAAATTACAGATTGATTTCTCAATTATATGAATGTATTTATAATTTAAAACTGATAAAACAATACAGAACAAAACATCCACGACAGCGAGACGTGCTTCGATTATAAAAGAAGACCGAGGTTTAAAACTCGTCTGCTTGGTTTAAACCCATCCCGCAGAAGGTTTAACTTAGACAAGGATGAACTAGATCTTTTGAACTGGATTTTTCCTCAATTTTAATAAAGTTTTCTTAGTTTATTTCCTTACAAACATTCAATCAAGAAACATAAAAGTGTTGGTGTGTATATAGTGTTAAAACGATTTTGTTTTCAGGTGTGTTTGCCAAGGTGACACTCTATGTTCGAAGGAAATTGGTTCGCACCAAGAAAACTCCAGTGAGACCGAAAACTCCTCAAGTCGAATTCAATAGTAGTTTCGATATTCACGTTCCATCATCATCTCTGGGGGAAGTAGATTTTCTGGTCATTCTTTGTCAAAAGACATCGGGACTAGGTAGCAGGAGAATAATTGGAAGAACACAAGTAGGAGCAAACTGTTTAAATGATCAAGGGTTACAACATTGGCAGGACATGCTAATGAGTCCTAAAAGCACCTGCGCTCAATGGCACCTTTTGAGTACATGACTCGGTGGGTGGTCCTTCTTTGTATAAAAGCATTTCTCCTTTTAATGTATTCTCATTTCAATAAATATATGTATTTTTTTGAATCCTTGTAAAATAACTACCCAGAAAGTAACCTTGCGTCAGAATTTCCTTCCATTGTCACGAAAATGTTTTCATTAAAGCAAAAATATTACAGTTTCAAACCTTTCATCCTCAAAGGGTTAAAAATTATTTTGAATGCTTTTTTTTTTAAAAGTATTGTCATTTATTTAAAAGGGTCACTTAGATCCATGATGACGTCACACTAGCGATAGGATCCAATTGCATTGTCCATTAAAATTTCAGGACAAGGTGGATTTTGGATATCAAGGTGGATTATTTGAAATTACGAAGGTGTGTAGAAAAATGTACTCGAATTATAAAGAAATTTAACATTCGATGAAGAGTTATTAACTGCTTAGCTTACAGGGAACCATGCGAGCTGCTCTACAAGTTTCTTTTTACAAATTTAATACGAGTTTTTAAGTTCCAAAAAGTTTATTGAAATACAATTTTTTTTGCCTTGCGTTAATTTCGATTTACTAAGCAAAATTTATAAGACTTAGGAATTTGAAACTACAACAGTGTGTAGATATAAATACAAACATTTAAGATTCGATTATTAGCTTGATCAAGTGTTAAACTTTGATTTAAAAGAAAGAGAAAAAAAACTATGTTTGTTGATTTGCCCGCTGAAACGTAACGTGCTGAAAGAGCAACATTCGAATCAAATGAAAATTCACTGAACTCGAAATTCTAATCTGTTTGAAAGTTGGTGTCATTTTTATTGCCTTTTTTACAATTCTTTTGCTTCATATAATGATTATTTATTCAATGTTGCTGAAAAATGTATCTCTCTCGAGATCATCGTTTTATTAGCTCACGCTTGACTTGATATCAAAAGTAACAAAAAAAAAGTAAAATAAAAGAAAGCGAGGAGATCATAACATTTATATCGATTCGTTTTTGAAAATATAGAATAGCCCCAAGAAAGATAAAAACCATGTGCAATTAGAACAATTATGGATATGAGCAAAAATTTCATCTTATTCTGGCACACATTCGATAGAATTAAATTTAAATATTTGCTCTAGCTCCGCCGGGGGGAATTATCTGCTTCTCATTTAAGATTGTTGGATTATCATGAAAAGAAAGGAAAAAATCATTGCAGAATAAAATTCAAAAAAATATAATTCACTTAACAAAAACAGATATAAATTTGCTACAACATTTTGCGGACTTTAGATAGATTTTAATTCCTTTTAAAGAATCTTTTTTTTAATGACATTAAGAATGTAACAAATTATACTTAATTTATTGCATTATTAAACTTATGATTTCGAAAAATAAACATGATGACTAAATATAGATGAAAAAGAATAGCAAAAATGAATATTTTAAAATTAATAAATATCTAAAAATATTTATTAATTTTAAAAAGTAAGAAATTATCTATTAAAATTACTTTATTTTATTTTATAACCGTAGTTGAACAGTTTACGACTGCTCATGTTCAACGCCGTATACCTTGTCATTTTGAACCCAATCCAGAAGACAAGGGAACTCCTGGATCAAGTATTGGGAGAAATTATGCCTTCGTGGAGGACTTTTTGATGGAACGAACCAGCATCTGCGCTACATGGAGAGGAAGAGCACGAGAAGTTCCCACAGTTAGCCTGACGGTAAAGGGACTCTAACCCATGATCCGTGTACCACTGAGGATATTTCACGTCAGCACTGTGGTCGGTGCAAGCCGGGTGCAGATTCACACCGACCAGCCATCGGTGGGACTCGAACCGGTTCACCTCATTGGAACTCTCTATCCCCTGAGTCCTCGCGAAATTATGAAAAATTGCTACCTACTCAGATTTAAAGAGAATACCTTAACACAACTTATTCAAATCCATTAACAAACTCACGCTTAGATAAAAAAAATAGTTTATCTGAAATTTTCTCTTCTAATTATTTTATTATTATTATTATTTTTATATATATAAAAAAGGCAACATAACAACTAGTTTTTCAAATAAGTTTTATGATGAAATCAAAAATCTAGTAAACTCTATAAAAAATTTTTTCCAATGCCCACCTGTGTTAACATCCGTCAATTGAGGCATATACAGGGCGATTTTGTTGGCCTCTCTTGCAGGGGCACCCAATTAGGTGGGCCAACGTTGCTCCCTCAGTGAGGACAGAGAAGGAAAGAACATCCATGCCTTGCCTGGGATTCGAACCTTTCTGATGCAAGGACAGTTCCCTGCCCCCTACACAGAGCGGTCAGCACTTTATAAAATTAAAACGCTAAATAAATCATTTTTTAGTTTCGTGTGACAAATAACCCAATTGAAAAAGTTTCACTTTTGATATGATTGATCACGCTAATGATTCGTCAAAATTTTGTAATAATAATTTGTTTCCTTTTTGAAAAGAAATATCGAAATAGCTATGGGGTACATCAACTTTCATGGAATTAAACTAAATTATGTGTATCTCAAAGAGTTTAGGTTTATAATTGGTCACTTTTATCAAAGCATAATAAACATTTTTATTTATGTCGTAAGAACACCTTTATTTTATATTTTGTACATACCAAAACAACATGGCATCTGCATTATAATTAATTATATACTTTTTTTTTAAAATTTGCTTTTATCCTCGACGGAGGATGATAAATTTGTTTGAAAGAAATACATAGAAATTTTTATAAATCATGAAAGAACCAAACAATACTTGTTAAAGTATCAGCAGCCTACAACTCAACTCTATAATAGTTGTGTATTTTGATTTAGATATGTTATTCGATTTTGTAATTAGGCTTCCAAAATTATTGTAAATATCGCAATTAAAGCGTTTTCATTTTATAAATTTCCATAGTGTTTATTTCGAATCTTTAAACAAGTGGCGTCNAACAGTAAAAACATACTTTTGAAATTTTGTTAAAAAAAATTTCATAAGATTTTATTATGTTCTCATAAGTATTTCATTCATTTGTAATAAGCATTTCAAATTTAAGTATTTGGCTTTTTATGAATGGATATATTCAATAAAATTTAAATTTGAACCTAGAAATGTAGGAGGTATTAATACTTTTACTGGCTACCAAGCTTTTTCAAATTCGTGCAGTCTTCTCCTTAAATAAATAATTATTTAAATAAATTATTATTGAAATGTATATTATTGATGTTTATTCAGTTTTGAATAAATTATACAATGATATCAATTTGAATTTTTTAAAATTACTAATCTCCATCATAAGAGATTTTAAAAAATTGTCCGTTTCAAAAAATAGTATATGATCCCCATTACACCATAACAGAATTTCTCGATCGAAAAATTTAATAAGTTTTTATCCTTTAAAATATTAAAATGTCCTAAAATTCTGAAACAACGGATCGGGTGGAATGATTAAGACATTTCAATCACCTAGTACAATTTGTGGATGGTCCCACAGATCAACTTCTGCGGATCCGAAGAAAAATACCTTCTCTGCAGTAGGGTGCGTAGCCAAATCTTTCAACAAAAAAAATAAGCACCTTTTAAGCACTCAAAAAATATTTTTAAGCACTATATACATTAACAAAATGCAAAATAATTTTCAAAGACTTTACGTGATTATGATAAAATACCTAGTTTCTGACAAAGAACTCTTTCCCTGATTATATTAACCATTATAAAATGATTGAGAGATTTTTCGGTATAATATCAGAGGGTGGAAAATGAAGCCTGAAATTGGAGAATATTTTGCAAAATGCAGAAGAGTTGCACACCAGAGTGCAATAATCTCATCGAACCCAATTGAAAAGATGCGCATACGGACTCACAAGTATTTCATCAAACGTGTGAAAAGATTGGCGCGTGCATATGCTTTGAACCTACGGTACGCCAAAATGGATTGTGGTCGAATGAATTGGGAAAATGTTGAATAGAACAATAGCTCGCTTTGCATAATATGTGGCGAAAAACGACACGGTAAAGAAAAATATCTCCATTTCGAAAAGGGAAAATTAAGCAATTTTTAAAACCACTCAATGAAAAAAGCACCTTTAAGTACTTTTTAAAAGCACCATGTGCATCAATTATACCATAGCACAAATTCTCAAGGTAAAAAAAAGGGAAGCTACAAAGATAGTCGAAGTCTCGTAAAATTTACAATCAACGAGAATGACAGATCCATCATTAATGCTATGAAATATTTATTCAAGAGAGATAACTATGTTTTGGTTTATTGACACACTGGTTAACAAAAATATTACACATTTATATAGTTTTAGAAAATTCAGATGAGTTTCAATTATCTGATCCACCAAAACCAATGCTTCATAATCAGGATTTTGTACAGGACACGTGAGTTTTAATGTCCTAAACTGACTGTCAAAAACCTTAAACATTGGCAAAAGGTAAAAATTCTACATGTGTAACCATTGTGCACATAATAATTACATACATTAATAAATGTTTGATACAGGGTTCGCAAGGTTTAGGACAGAATGGATTAATCCACGGTTTAAACCGTCCTGTCCAAAGCCCTTTTACTCAAATTATGTCACAATTTTATCTGAACAATATTAAAAAGGTAAAATAAACATAGAACTAATAATATATTGATAATTAAATCTACTAGAGAATATTTTTAAATTATAATGTTTTATTAATATTATTTGACTCTTCAATTTAAACATTAAACAAAGGAAGTTTAATCAGTCCTCTTAACATTCAATAGCACATAACTGAAATTTGTCATACAGGTTAAGCTATTAAGGACTAAGTGCTTGGTTAGTCATAAACAGGTTTATTTATCCATAGTACTATTCAAGAATACTTTTATTTCATTCATGTTCAATTCCTCTAGCATAGTGGTAAGACATCACCAGTGTCAGTAACTGAAACTGATGTTATGCCCTTCAAAACTGTCAATACATTTTTCACTTATTTCGTAATTCCAATTTAAACTAATATTTAAAAGCAATCATTTTTTTAAATAGATATCTTTTTTATTATCCCGTGATGCAGAAATTATAACATTTTTTAAAAAAAATATTGTAAAAAATAAAAAGTTAATTTTTTTTAAACAAATTTAGTATTTTTTTAAAAAAAAATTATTATTTTTTAATATTTCATTATTTATCCTTATGCAAAAACATAATTTATCAGTATTAAAAGCATATTTATATTTAAAGAGTAAGGTATTCACTTTTGTCGTTCAATGAATTGTAGAGCTTCAAAAATTATATACCTTTTCCTATTATATTATATTATTTTCCTTTAATAAGTTAAAGCAAATTGTATAAAAAATATCAAATATTTATTGATACATGCAATTATTATATGGTGTACAATGGTTACACACATAGAATTTTTACCTTTCACCAAAGTTCAAGGTTTTGGACACTTTAAGATAGTTATAGTCAGTTTAGGGCAGTAAAACCCACGTGTTCTATCCAAAACCAGTTTAGGACGTCCAAAACCACAACCCTGGTTTGATACTTTTTATACAATTTGCTTTAACTTATTAAAGGAAAATAATATAATAGGAAAAGATTTATAACTTTTGAAGCTCCAAAATTCATTGAACAACAAAAGTGAATACCTTATCCTTTAAATATGAATAAATGGGCTTTTAATACTAATAAATTATGTTTCTTGCATAAGGATAAATAATGCAATATTAAAAATAATAATAAACTTCTTAAATAAAACAAAAAATTGTCCTCATATATGTTCTTGTTAAAAATTTAACGTTTTATTTCTCATAATATTTTTTAAAAATCTTGACATAATTTGAGTAAAAGGGTTTTAGACAGTTTTGAAAAAAAGGGTTTTGGACAGGACGGTTCAAATTGCAGATTAATCCATTCTGTCTTAAAACTTGCCAATTCTGTCCCAAATTTTTGGTCATTTTAATGTTCCACCTTCCTGAATTAACTATCAAATTCAACTGTATTTTTTCAATTAAAGCAGCATTAAAAATTTGAATGAACATTAGATAACTCTCTAGCCATTGAATAAATTTATAATTTTATGAAGATTTTTATTTTTTTAGCTTACTTCGCTATACTTTTAAAATGGTTTGAATTAGTTCTCAGATAGGATTAATCTGAATTGAAAAATAAAAGGTTTTAAAAACACATTTTATTCTTTCTTAATTGAATCTAAATATTTGCAATACAAATGAGTTGTTTCATTTTGAAATTATAATGGAAAAATGGAAGGAAAAAAAATCAAAATAACAAGAGTATTTACAATTCATTACCCCGGAAATAAATTCAAATCTGTCAGCATTGCTGCCAACATGGATAGGAAAAAATCCAGTAGATTTCACAAAATAATATAAATTTCATGATAATTGTTGCATAATATACTAAATATTTTACACAAAGGGAACTTTTATAGTCATCAAATAAAAAAAATTGCAATATTTTCCAGCTATGATTGATATTAAATATACTTGAAATGTTATGGATTATGCAAACTCATAATTTTAATATTAAATATTCAAAGTCATTTAGCTCATTAAAGATAGTCGAAAGACTTTTTTTAATTCACTCAAAAAAAAAAAGATTTCTGAATAAAAATAAGCATCTTTTATAACAAAAAAACAGGTTTTGAACTGACTTCTATAAACGAGGTTCACTTCAATATGTATTAGTAATACTTATTTAAATATTCAAGCAATAACCCGTACAAACATTCTATTTCAGTAGGGATTTCGTTGGGAAACTTACTCAATTTGAGGGAATTTTTTAAAATGTACAAAAACCAGGAGAATTTTAAATAAAACAGTAGAAACTGGAAAAATCCAGTAGAGTTGGTGTCAGTCTAATGAAGGATTAAAATGTTAATTAACAAATGGTAAACCAAATAAATAATTCATGAAAAAACATCAGATATTACACAGGCAATAAATTTTAATCCTTTTAAAACAATAACTCTCAACCCAACTGAATAATGAAAACAGGTGACATGTAATTAGCATTGGACATTTGCACACAAATAATATAAGAAAAGTAATGAAATATGAACAACAGAAAAATAAATATATGTCATAATCTAATACAGTGTCTTAAAAACTGAAGAGGAGAGCACAGAAAAAGATCTATTTAATTAAAAAAAAATTTTATATAAGAATTTAAATTCATTATATTTTAATAAAAAAAAAGAAATATTTCGAACTTAATTTTCTTTTTAAATGTTAGACAATACTTTTCTTTTTAGTATTTCAATGTTTGATAAAACAATCATTCCAGGGGTCTGTCAAGATTTTTTTGAGAGGTACCTATTTTGTGACAATTTAAAACTATTTGAAAAAATCAATACAAATATCTGGTAAATTTAGAAAATATTTTTACCATACATTTTTTCTCATATATTAAAAAACAATTTTGCTATTGTAAAATTTTGAGCTTAAAAAATGTATCCAAATTTAACAATCATTGTCCATAGTTAAATTTCAACTATAATTTAACAAAAACATGCATTTAACGGTAGCACTCGAAGCTATTTTCGTCACGACGACGTTTTCGACTCACTCGGAGAGAAAAAATTCTTTCATAAAAATATAAAGGTATGTTGGAATGAATTTACAATAATGTTTGAATTTCCCGTAAAGTTTATAGAGGGAGAGTTGAAATGTGACCTACCATTTATTATTACAAAATTTTAAGAGGTACAGTTTCAGATTCTGATAAGTATTTTGTAAAACTACGTTTTACCTAAAGTTGAATTCTTGAAAGTGCCGCTAAACGGTAGTAAATTTTCTACAGACAGATCCCTGAATTTATTCATCATTTAAGAAAAATTTATCACCCAATTTGTTTGAAAATCATAAGGATAAAATAAAACAGCATACAAATTCTTGTGTTCTGACTAATAGTGAAGTCTCAAGAAGAGTGCGTGTCTACATTCCTTAGAATCTGCAGGCAGGTATTTATCATAAAAATCATGAACTAGTTCTTCAATTTTAAAACTGAACAACTGGTATAGAAATAGAGCAGAGCTTGTTGCTGAGACGTGCAGAGTTATATCTTTACCCATACAAGTTTGTATGAGATGATAGAGCATGAATTTTCCAATCCCACTCCTCCTCCACTCTGGGTGACAGAATATAAAAGTAATGTAAGCCTCATTGTACTTCGCATCAGGAACCATGAAAGCAAAACCGATAATCACTTTACGATAAACGGCCACGCAGCTGAAGTCGGGGTACTGGAGGCACTCGGACATGTCGATCCCCGGCCAGAAGAACGTGTGGCACAGTGCGTTGATGGCCGGAATGAACTCGGGTCTGACATAACAGTAATCGATGGGGTATTCCGCGCGAGTGCCTCTGTCGGCACGAGATCTTATTTCCTCCAGGAGCCTCAGCTTCAACGGTTTAGTTTTATAGTCACGACGAATGAAAGGCTTTAAAATCCTGCCAGAATAAGGGCTGACAATATTTTCCTGGTCTTCCGTACTTTTGCCCGTCAGGCGCGTCGCAAACGAAACTTGCGTCCGATTCGACGGATAGTCAGGATTCGTCCGATAACGGTCGAAAACGGTCGTCGGTCGGGAAACCGAAACGGTAGCGGATTTATTTTGGGGTTCGGATTTCACGTAATCCGGGGGGTCCATGCCTCTCAGCAGACGCATTTCGACGTCGAGATCGAAGACAGGAATGTTCCGTTCCCTTTTCAGTTTCCTCACAGCCAGTTTTCGATACAATTGTCTCAATTCGGTATTTTTGCTCAGTGCGACGGGGTAATTGTCCAATTTTTGAAGCAGAGACTCTTCTTCGTAGGGACTCATCAGCTTGTACTTGGACTCGGTAACTGCGGACTCCTTGACAGGACTCTCCTCTTTGGTCACGACGGTACGCTTTCGACTCGTGTCCGGAAAAACCTTTTTCGGAGTACCGAGGGTCTTGTCGGGGATGCTGTCTTCGTCGCTTTCGCATTCTTGTTTCACGGCAGGAAGATTTGCTACGTCCATCTCCGATATCGTACTGTCGAGAATAGAGTCAGGTACGTCGAATGCGCTCGGAACGACGTACGTGTCCGACACGGGTGGCATGTCGAGGTCGGCATCCGATTCTTTTGCCCAGAAGTCCGAAGACGACGGACTTGATTTTTCACTTTTGATGACGATCTTGGGTACATTTTGGCTGATTTTTTCCTCACTTTGTTGAAGGGAAGGAGGTGGGGCAACGACTAGTTTCAGTTTATGGTTGGGAGGAAAAATGCTGAGATCTTTTTTCTTACATTTAACATCGGAAGTTTTTGACTTCGAAGGTTTCGATTCTGGAACGATCGATTTCTTTTCCTTCAGAGCGACGGCTGCTTCTACAACATTTTGCTTCTTTCTACGAGTACCCTCGACGAGTAGTTGCTCGAGTTCCGGAGATCTCCGCTTTCTACTCGTTTTAATGCTTAAAGCCATAGAATCAAGTTCATGTATCTGAGGCATTTGTAGCTTATTAAGAGACCACCATCCAGTTTCATGAAGTTTTTCAAATCCAGACGTGAAAAATCTGTTACCCCCGGTAGATAAAGCTCCAGCTACTGTTCCATGCCAAGTGGCGCTCTTTTTCCTTTCGTTACCAAATATTACTGACCAATGTTTATCTATATATCTACAAATATGCTCTCGCCATCGAAAATAACCTTCTTTCCCACTGCTTTCTAATTGAAGGTTATACAATGCCAGCATAATGACCAATGTCCACTGCATTTTCATTCGCTTAATAGATTCCTGCCCATCAGGTGAGCATCTCTCGCACGTTAATAAAAAATAAATATCACCAGCCAATGATGACGGCCGACCAGATTTTAGGCATGTAAGGTGAAATTGTTCGTGACAAGATGTACATGTTATCATATATTCTTCAGCAGCCGATTTACAGTAACAAAATACTTTTGGTGCAGATTCTCCAGACTCCATTATGTTATCGCAATCAAATCTATAAGAAACGAATATTATTTACGATCTTTGTCAAAAATAAACGGCGGTTTAAAACTTCTTATACGTAATCTGACAATACATTTTAGATCTCTATAAGCTTTTAATGGGAAAATACAACAAATTCGGGCTGTCAATATAAATACGAGTGGTTGAAAGTTGAAGTTAGTTAACTACAACATTTTTCTGCCAGGAAATGTTGTGCTATGCCTTACTTTTTACGCTTGAGCTTACTTTTCTTGTGCAAAATAATGAAAACAGTTTTTTTAGTGAGTTTGGAACGGTGATGCTATAATTTTGTTGCTGAGTTAATAATCTTCCTTTTATAAACGTTTTTGAGTTTTATTTGAGGTAATTTTTAACTTTGTATTTTTAGACACTAGTCAAAATTTGGCCCTAGATGACGCTATTGAATAGTCTCGACCTTAAAAAAAAAAAAATCTTGTAAATTGAAATACTGAGCTATAAGCTAAGAAACAGAGCTCGTCATACTTTACTCAACTATCACCTGCAATCAAATTTGTTTACAATTTCCATCAAAGTTAAAGAAAGGGAACCTATTTTTTTTTTATCTGAATTTAAAAGTAGATTATCCTCCCATCACATAAGAGTTGATTGTTGATTTAGTTTCATCAAATTACCGTAAGTTATTTTTACGTCAGTTGTAAATAACTGGCGTAAAGTGCCTGGCTAAAAAGCGCTTGCACCTATGGTTTATATGTTACAAAGTATTTTTGTGAATTAGAAGTTATGAAATTTAGTCATAATTTTTGATTTTAATTTGGATTTAGTTTTTTTGGATTACAGTCATAATAATGGATACAATTCAAAATCTACATAGTTTTTATAAAAATGTTGTACCAACTACTTGAATAGTCACCAGTTCCGCAGCATGAGCTACAAATTATTTTAGAATCTGCAGATTATTTATTTTTAATGCTAAAATGGAAACGAACAAACGACAGAAAATTGCTGAGATTACTTTTTAAAAGATCGTTTGAAGAAATCTAATAAAAATTAAAAAACTTAATTATAAAAGCACCATAAAGAATTAAAAGTACTAATTTTTATTTCCCTGGTACTTGATTAGTCTGAACAGCTCTTTTCTTACCTCAATCCATATTTTTTTAGAGATTGTTTTGCTTAGTGTGTTCAAGTAAAAATTGATGAATCACTAGAACTATAAAAATTAATATAAATTTATGGCTTAAAAATAAAGTAAAAACTTGTTGTTTTTACAAAATTTCAAAATTATTTTGAGATATTCGGAAAAAACAAATATAATGATATATTTTTTATTTTGTTAATATTTTAGAAATCTTTACAATTATTATTATTTAAAGAAAAACAGCAAGAAAGCTATTATGAACTAACTAAATATTAAATATAATGTAATCATTAAATTTAAAATAGGGAAAACTAAAAAAAGCCAGAATTTAAAACTTTTTTTGTAAAAAAAATTATAATATATATTTGAAAGCTATTTTTCGAAAGGAGTGGTAAAAATGTTATAAGTTTCTATTTTCTTCAAATTCGACATATTTTTAAGTTTAATATTGTGAAATTTACAGAAAGGGAAAACTAAGTATTAAAAATATAGGAACACATAAAATTTTGAAATCCGAAAATCAACATTAAATAAATTAAATGGCAATATATATTATTTTTTAAAAGTCTGTTTTAACAATTATTGCTGACAAAATTAAAGAATAATTAATTAATGATTTTAATTTGAATTGTAAATATATTAAATCATAAATAAAGGAAAACACATTTAAAAAAGTAGAAAAACTAAGATTTAATAAATGAAAAAAAAATCAATAATGCTCTCACAAGTTCACATTATTTTATGCTAATTAAAAGAAATACAGTTTTTAAAATTGTTATAACCAAATTTAAGGGATTTTAAACAAATTATATATGGATAAAGGAAGAAGAAAAAACAAAATGATTATAAACACTTCTATTAATAATACATTATAAAAAGTGAAAATTTACAAAATTATTATTTATCTGAACGACTAATAAATTTAGAAAAAAATGCTTAAAAAATATTTTTTGTGACTTTGATATTTCTTTAACAGTTTTTATGTAATATGAAAAATAGCTAGTTTTTCAATATTTTATGTGAAAGATTATAGTAATACTTAACTTTATAATTACAATAGGAACTATTTAAGTAACATAATCAAATTTTATTAATACAGCTGAAATAACCAATCATATAGCTATGTAATTAATATAATAATACTAAATACACACGTTCTCAATTATATGCTGAATTGAAGCCAAATAATTGAAGTCTGAATTCTTAAACTAAATCTTAAATTAGGGTTGCACAACCTTTTTGAGTGAAGGGCCACTTGCACAGCAGCTAGATTAACGAAGGGCCACACGCATATTTCAGGGGTCTGTCTAGGTTTTTCTGACAGGTACCTATTTTGTGAAAATTTAGACGTAATTTGTGAAAAATTAAAAATTATATTAAGAAATCAACACAAAAATATGGATTTATCGTTTCTTAAGGGATACGAAAATGAAATTTTAAGAAAAAGTATTTTGTGAAACTACCGTTTTTCCAAAATTGAATTTGTGAAACTACCGTTTTTCCTAAAGTTGAATTTGTGAAGGTACCGCTAAACGGTAGTAAATTCGGCCTGGACAGACCCCTGTATTTAGTCATGTTAGCAGCAAATATGATAGTTTTTATATTGATATTAGTGTTTTAAGCACTAAATATTTTTATCAGTGAGCTTAATAACATATTTGCAGAAATTTAAATACTTTTAATTGTTTGAATTTATTTAAAACTTAAAAAAAAACAAACTGATGCTTTATTAAAAAGAAACTTTTTTTCCATTTTTTACAATAATTAATTTGTCATATATACATATATGGAGGGGATATAAATTTTAACCAAAACGAAGCTTACAATGAAAGTGCAAAAAAAATATTTTATAGTGTAGTAAATTTGAATTAAATATTTTAATTAAAGAGAATTTATAATGTTTAAACAAAACCCAAATTTAAGGAATTGCATTTAGAAGTTCCCGCTGACCACATATCAACAGTTGGCTGGCCGCATGTGGTCCGTGTGCCACTGGTTGTGTACCCCTATACTTAAATAATATGATATATAGATTTTAAAATTCTCAATAAAACTAATAAAAAAGTTTTTTTTAAGAAAAGTAAACATAATAAACTTTTTGTTACTGTAATAAAAAATTTTTTTTTTTTAAGTTTGAGCTATTCTTATAATATTTATTGTTAAAGAATTGTCATTTTTAATTGCTTGTTTCTACTGTCATGAAAGAAAGAAAGGTTTCTTTCAGAGGAAATACCAATGCTGCTTAGCACAAATATTTTTGTGGGAAATCATATCTCTATTCTACTTAAACATTTAAAATTTGCAAATTTATATTTATTTGAAATAACACTTATTCCCGTTAGCAATTAAACTCAAAATTGTAAATAATGTAAGAAAATTTATCTTTTTTTCCTTCATTTTGTTGCAGTCTGACAAGAAGAATTTATAAAAATATTAAATGTGTGATACAATATCTTTATAAGAAAAAACCAAGCCAGGTTTTTCTTTAAAAATTGCTTTAAACCAGCCAATTATGGTGAAATAGATAGAAAAAAATGAGATCTAAATTTTCAAATCATCGTTTAATATTTTGAAGATAAAAGACCTGATATATTGAAATATTTATGTTTAAAAAAATAAAAATTTTATGGCAGATTTTGTAACTTAAATGAACTGTTAGTTTAACTTTTTTTATTAGTTAAAACCTGTTTTGCTTAAACTAACTACTGTTGTTGAGAAACTGGAACTAGCAACGCCCCCTAGCGAGAAACTGAAAAAAAACTCAGAAACAGTGAGAGAGTGTGAACGAACGGTAGAAAGCCTGCCATGCAGAGCTCCTTATTTTTTTCTTCTTCATATATGTTATGTTTGTGAATGTGCTGAGTGCTAACTATAATCATGTTGTTTACAATAAAAGTTAGCTAGCCATTGTTTTAATTCCCCCCTATGCACCAAACTGTTAATTTCCCTCGTGGCAGAATCGCAAGGACACTGTGACATTGTCGTACAACGTTACAGAGTTCTTGCGGGAAGATTTTTTGTTTGAAAAGTAAAAAAAAAAATCAATTTTTTTTTAATCATGAATTTAGATAGACACTTTTTGACGTGTTCAGTTTATTTATTCTAATGCATTTGAGAAGTCCGATTTGCGTGATTTCGTCAATCTTTCTTTCGGCCAGTACTATGACGGATTTCATGATTTTTTATTGTGATGATTATTTTCAGAATGCTAAGTACGAAGAACATAATTTGTGGAACCCCCCAACGCAATGCAAGAATATCCCCCATAATATTAGAATGAAAAATTACTATATGTTCAATTTTAAAAAAAATTATCTAGCTTTTTTTGTAAACACGTCACTTTTGTTATTTTAAATTAGTAAGGTATATGTTTGTATTTTATTAAAAGCATCTTGCAGAAAGATATTAGAGAGTTTTGTCGCAGATAGCTCGAAAAAATTCTGCCACATGGTTAATTTCTAATTTAGCGAAAACAGAAGGACAAAACAGACATAAAAAATCGCATAGGAACACACAGGGTCTCAAAATTATTTTTTGGAAGGGGGTTGCAAAATATACTTAGACAATCATTCTACATCATTTTAATTTTATTTCATTTACTACGATTTGCAATCAATTCTCCTGGGTGATTCTCTACAAAAATTTACAAAATCATGTCCAAACAAAATTTCACAAGACATAGAAAGTAATTTTTTTATACTTTTAAGATATAATTTTTCTCAATGTATTTCCATGCATTGAAACAAAATATATATTTAAAATTACTCTATGTCATTTTCCACGCTTGTGCGAAACATTTTGTTAGATTTATTTAAATTCTTAACATTTAAATTACGTTAATTTAAACTGTAAAATAATATTTTTCGATACTATTTAAAATTGTTGTCGTTTGTTCCAAGGTTTTCGTATCTCTCTTTAGGGAAAAAGATTGATCGTAGATTTGAAACTCATGTATGTAACTGTTCTGAACAACATTTCTATTGTTTGTCTAAAGTAAGAACTCCCCTAGCCCTTCGTCTGGACTCTTGGCGGTAACTATGGTATAACTATTTCAAGTAGGGGAAGCGGTCAAATGACCGTTTAAGAACTTTTGCATTGAAAATACGCTTATCATCTAATCGTTTTTGCTCATTTGACTTCATGACTTTTTCTAACTGTTATATACAGTTCATATTCTTTATTCTTATTTTTTTTGTATTTTGTTTATTTCAAATAATACGTGTCATGTACCTATTTCTACCACAACCGGTCATTTGACCGGGAGAACAATTTATCGCTTTATTAAGTTATCGATCACAAATGACGATGTCATGCGTGTTCAATGTATTACATTCGATGAGTTGCACATTTCTGTTGCGTAGTGAGTTTAATCAGAATAACTGTGGATTCAAATTTCAAGAAAGTACCTAACATTTTAGATTGACATTTTTTTGTTAGAAAAAGTGACACAAACGAAATGTTTTGTAAAGTAGCTTATATTTCATGTTGATGGTTTTACTTCATTTCTAACTGACTATTAGTTTTTACCCAGAAAAATGTCGAAACAATTAAGACAGCACAAATTCTTAGAAGAATTAATATTAATTATTAGAGTAATTATAAGAATTATTAATTAGAAGAATTATGTTTGCGGAAAATGTACAAGGGAAACACCCTGTATGCGCAAAAAAAGCGTCTAGCAATGTATTAAAAATTCTTATTCTTTGTGTTTGTTAAACATAAATATTTTCAATATACAATTTTGTTTAATTATAATAAAGTGTTTTTTAGTTTATTTCGTTCCTAACATCCATATTTCATACATTCAATCAAGAAACATAATGGTAGAAATAGATATAGATTAAGTGTTGGTATGTTTTAGTGTTAAGGAAATAAAAACCATTCTTTTTAAAAACTTTCTTGTATTTCAGAAAAATGTCCTCTTCTCTTATCCTACTTCCAAAACTGACTCAGGCAGTTGCCGGGATTGCTTCGATGTTTCTCATTGGCAATTTATATTTCAATGACAAAGTAAATTGGAACTCTGTTGATAAACAAATGAAGAAAAAGAAAAATACGTCGAATGTCATATCTTAATTTATTTTTCAGTATGCCTTTTTTCTCTCTAAATTGATTCTTGTATATCAATTTTATTTGTTGAAATAATAAATGTTGTTCATGATTTTATTGACTTTTTGTTATCATTTTTCTCAAGTTTACATGGGTGACGTTTCCTTAATCTTTAATTATAAAATATCTTTCTTATCTTAAGTTTCAACTTATTTACATTTGCAAACGTTGTATCAAATCATTAAGTAAAACAGATGAATTATTTAAGCAATTTTGTTGCTGTTACACATCCCCCTGAAGAAGGAAAGCCTAGACCAGGTCCAGAAGGCCCCGTCGTGTCAGTTCCCCATATATCTGCAAGAAAGTCCCGATCAACCAGCAGCTGCTTAAAAGAAGCGCCAAGACAAAAAAGGTGATCAGGACTAGCTGGAACAAGGTTGGAAAGTCTTCTCCCTATTTTGAAACCTTAAACACTTAAGATGGCCGATTGGAAAGGCTGAGGGCCGCTGCATGTTAATGATAGGCCAGGGCGTTTGCCAGCATACCACTGATGGGATGGAGTACGGCGCCACACTGGAAGCAAACTATGTTTCTCCAGGGAGTGGATCTCGGGAAATGGTTCAACCAGTCCATGGAAAGAACACAGCCATTCTTGGCGAGCACATCGGCTGTCTCATTGCCATGTACCCGGATATGGGATTCATTGGAGGCTTATTGGTGTCTTCTGGCGTATCTCAGAGAGAAGCTTCATAATCTCCTGGCCAGGAATATCAAATATTTCCGGCCAGTTCCTGAAATACTGTATAGCACTCATACTATTGGTCAATATCCAAATGCAATTATTATCAGTTGTCTGGGCATAACTAGGGGCAGTTCCAATAGCCATGATCTCAGATCTAAAGACTGAGCAATTGTAAGGGTTATTTAAGCTATTGATATATTATATAATTGTTATTATATAATATATACATTGCTGTTGATATATCATACAATAATATATTGTTATTGATGGATATGTAACTGTTTTGCATATGATATGATTTTGCAAACTCCACTCTCAAAATGAATCGTGCAAATCATGTCATTATTAAAAAACTACAGTACGTCTAATAATTGGATATAATTATTATAATATACTAATATAATGCTTGATATAATAAATATTCTATATTGATATAATATATCATCAAATTTATATTATCTATCGTCTCCTTTAACTAATTGATACACCAGCGTGAACATTGAAACTGTATAGTTATCCCCTGATAATTAAGATTTTACAAAGAATTTTGCAGTGCGCCTAATAATTTGGCCAGAGACTGTATATCTAGTAGTTTTTCTAAGAAATTATGAATGAAGTAGAAATTATAATAAATATTTTATTAATATTTATATATTTTGTTTATTCGCTCAATTTTGTTTATTGTCTTTTAGGTACGAAATAATAAAATCATATCACACAGCTTTCGTCTCCCAATGGAGATCACATGATTGACAGCTGCTGTTTTTCATTCTGCTCAATTCATCGAAAAAAATACAGACGTTTCGTAAGAATCATCCGAACATGTTTTAATAAATCAACCCATCAGTTACTTATCTTTCTTTTTCCTGTGATTTTCATATACTTTTTCAGTCCCATACCAGTTAAAAAAAATCAAGCTATTTTTTATTTTATTAATAAGTACAAGGAACTGAAACAAAACACAAGTTGACAACATCGGACCGACATCGGACCATTCGAGGAATACAATCGATGGACTAAATGCTGTGACATTCCTGATTTGAGATTGGCTTCATTCCATCAATGACGTTAATGTTAGTAATATGGAAGATGTCTTACTTCAATTAGATTTCCCATCCTGGACTGTTTTATCTATTGACTCAAAGCATAATCATATATGCGAAAAACTTGTAGAAATAAAATCTCACTTCAATTACGGTGTTTTTCTTTTCTTAAATGTCTGGATGCGCACGAAAATGAAACAGCTCGAAACGAGGTGGTTGACACTCATTTATTTAATCTTAAGGCAGTACCGTCTTTACGCATGGGCACACCCGGGCAGTGCCCAGGGGCCCCAGGCACTCAGGGGGGCCCTTGAGAATCTTACTTTTTATAAATTGTATTAAAAAACAACAACTAAGAATAAACAACTTTGCATTATATAATTTTTAAAATAAATCCCAAATAGCAAAATATGATTTATTTTCACTCAGCTAAAACCTTTCAATGTAAACCGAAAAAGGTTGGTTATGCGGCTTACGTGTAAATCTTCTAACCTTAAAACGAGATCAGTGACAACCTGCTCTATTCCATGCACATTACCCTAGTCCAAAACCTTGTAAAACAACCTTCTATATAAAAATTTTTAATCGAGGTTGACTTAGAGTTTTCAAGCGTGAAAAAAATCCTTTAATAAAGCTAGTCTGAAGGTGAAAATACTCTTAAACCTAGGTAATTATAAGGTTTCTTTTCACAAAGTCTTGCATGCTCAGCTAAAATCCACCTTGTCATGAAATTTTAATGAGCAATGCAGTTTGATCCTATCGTTAGTGTGACGTCAGCTAAACCGTCATTATGGACCTAAGTGACCATTTTACTTAAGTGACAACACTTATTT